CTCTGAATTTTAAACAGGCAGGCGATTTGGATGCAGGTGGTCCTCAAGCCACACAGTTGGAGAAAAACAATTAGTCTCCTACCTCTCCGATAATGTTCCTAAAAAGAGTTTTCTTTCACATTGAGGAAAATTGACATAGTATACATTTCATGAAACATGTTTCTTCTAAGCTAGGTAAATACCCTCGAGTAAATAGTTCCTCTTCAGCATAGTAAGAATGACTGAGTGCCACACGGCACATGTCATCTCAAGGAGATGGCCCAAGGCATCACCGATTGACAGTAACAGCAGCAACCTCACCACTTTATTCCTCTGTCCCGCAAGCCCATTCCAGAAGACACGTTTCCTTTGGCCTGCATCAAGGAAAAAAATGTACTTGTCAGCATTTAAAGGCTGCGAGCTTGCATGTAAAATCTGGACTGCTAGTTTCTGCAGAAGGATTAGAGGAGCCCGACAATCGGATGCCAGGTCCGGCCTGGAACTGTCTGCAGGGAGCCAGACGCTTCCTCGGCTCATGGACTGTGGCCCTAGCGGGGGGGCAAGCACATTCCCTCGGGACCAAACATCCCCCCAACACCACGAACTCTGCTCAGGCAGCGCCCCCGCCGCAATCCTCGGGGCTTTGCTGCAAGGTGGGGTACACCCCATCAGACCTTCTCCTCCCCTTCATGAAAGACCCGGAATCCCGAGGCTGGAAAGCGGGGAACGTGCAGATCGACCCCGCGGAGACCAGTAAGAACCCATCCAAAGCACAGCCCGCTCCGCTCACTTTCCAGAAAGGGCTCTACCCGTCCCCTCGAGGGCAGCTAGGTGGGAGCTCCCGAACCTGTCCCCAACGCTCTGGGCTTACTTGGGCCAGAGCACCGGAGGCGGACGCCGCGACACACAGAGCCTGGAAAACTGCAGCGCTCAAAGGGCCAGACCATTCAATTTGCGCGGGATAACTCTCGTCCCGCCCAGCGGAAGTGACGTCAGAGCGCAATCCGCGCCGCCAGCTCCGCCTCCAGCCGCCTCCCCGAGTGCCTGCCTTGGCGGATGCGGCCAAGGCCCGAAGCCCTGCGGCTCCGAGCGTGGCTGCCGGCCGGAACCCCATGCCGCGTTTTGGAGGGGTGGGCGGAGCTGGAACTGACGGCCAACAGGGAACGGCGCCCGGGAAGTTGGGCGTTTCGGTCTCGCCGGGGCTGCTGGGAGTTGTAGTTCTCTCCGGACTGTAGCCCCCGATCTGGGCTGCTGAAGTTCAAAGAGCGCCGCCGCGCGATTGTGTTGAAGATTTTAAAACCTACGAAAGGATTCCAGGGATACAGGAGATGCAGCTTGTGTTTGAATATTCTTTGGACCCTTTCTGTAGACTTTGGGAAGGGAGCGAGCGGGCGCTTAGTAAGAAATCCGAGAAAGGACAAAGAGCATCTCCTTGACCAAACTCTACCCAGACTCCTCTGAGCCCTCTTCTCAACTAGGCCTCAACCTTGGCCTGTAAAGACTTGAACGAACACTAACATAGCTAAAGGCCACATCCCTAAGGTGACTCTAGCCCCCTTTAAAGTGCCTGCCTGTGAAAAGGCTGCCAAGAGAATGTACCGTTTGTTCCAGCCAACACCCGAAGAAAGGCCCATCTCCCAGCATCTGTAGGAGGGTAGGAACCTCAGCCCCATAAGCACCGCTGAGCAATACCAGGTGAGTCTAATACCAGGTGAGCCTTACTAACTCTTCCCTCCCGATTTTGGAAATTTTCCCCTGACTCTACTGAGCCCCCAATTCACCCCCGTCCCCACTCCCTCATTTCTCTCTTTAAACCACCCAGTCATCTCTGTACAGATTGAGTTGAGTTCAATCCACCCTGGACTCTTCCTGTTGCAATAGAATTACTGACTAAAATCTGTCCTCACCACTTTACCTAGTGTCCAGCTTTGTTTATCTTTGACATAAATCAGGGGAAACTTTATAACCAAACAATCATGAAAATGGTTCTTATGGTGCATAGACTTTGAAGACATTTTGGACTTTGGTGGCCACTTGGGACCAGGCTTCCAGTCCTCATAACGCTAGACCTGGTTGCTGTCCTCTTTTCTCAGGGATATTGTGGTTTAAAACAGAAATGAGAAGAAACTTAGGCCAGAGATGGGCAGGGATAATTATTAAGACTCAATTTAAGGAGCTGGGGAAGAAGTGAGCATATATATATTAAAATGCTCCTATTTTGAGTATCTTCTCTGCATATATCTCTTATCCTAAGTTTTTCCATGATTGGTCTAACATCTGTCATGCCAACATACTACCTCAGAAATTGTTGAAAAGGTGACACTTTGGAGGAATGTGCTCAGTGGAAACTGGGCTGCCTTCTATTCTGTTCTGGTCTTTACAGCTGAGACTAGGAGAGGAGTTCAGAAAAATGATCTTCCCTTGCTCTTGCAACAGCTATGGTTAATCTCACCCTGGACCAGCTTGAAACTGACTATAGGGGGAGGTGGGGGACAGTTGCAAACTGCAGTTTGTTAAAGAGGAACTTAAATGTGAGTGGAGTGTGTTTGTAGAGAAGTGTACTTACAGTCATTGGACTATCCAGCTATAGTATTTACTTCAGTACATTGGATCCAACCAAGAATATGCCACACATAGGGGTGTTAGGAAGAAACCCAAACATCAAAAAGGTGCCCATTCCAGCCTCACGGAATCCATCATGAAACTAACATATGAGGACTGCACTACCGTTTGCCTCC